TTGAATCTATCAGAAAGAGACTCAGCAGGTGGAAGAATACTGATCAGTGCGTCTCTAAAAATCTGTGCCTTGGTAGAAAAATGCTTCAGCCTCAATATCAGCAGCTGGCAGCTTATTTTCAACACTTATTTATCTTCTGACAGCAGATAATTCTATTCAGTTTATTTCTATAGCTCCAATTCTCATCATGTCATCTCAGGTCACTTTCCAGTTCACCAGATCATCCAGTCAGATTGATTCAAAGTTTTCTATCTAAGGAAAACCAGCTGATTGCATCGACTCATTGACTCTTCAGCAATCCCTCACACTAAGCATGCTTGTTGCGACAGTGGAGAGGAAAAACTCCCTTTTAACAGATAGAATGAAGCAGAATGATGAAAAAGGGGTCCCTATGTCCTCCAGCAGTCTAAGCCTATAGCAGCATAACTATAGAGATGCTCAGGATAACCGAGCCTTTCTGACTATAAGCTTTATCAAAAAGCCAGAATGAAACTCTTCAAAAAGTTAATTATGCTTAAGTTGGTCTCAAACTTGTTCGGCAACTACTTTCTCAAGAATTTTAGATAAGAAAGTAAGATCAGATATAGGTCTATAATTGACCAAGTCATCAAGGGTCTTGTTTATTCTATGACTATAAACCTTTGAAGAAAACATCTGAAAAGACATCAGTCTTTTTTTCCAGGCAGAATTGGTCTAAAAGTGCCTCTGCTTTACCTTCCTACAGGTTGCAATCCTGCTGTACCTGGCTGACTGGATGGTTCACTGGATGTGGGGCCGAGGTATGGACCCCGATAACTTCTCCATCCCGTACCTGACCGCTCTGGGGGACCTCCTGGGAACCGGTTTCCTTGCCCTCTGCTTCCACATGCGTTGGTTTATTGGGGACAGGGACTCCAATTTAGGCAACTGAATTTGTTGAAACATACACACAGAAAATTAAACGTAAACACACTGTGAGCGTGCATGCAAAAAACGAAGACGAAGATCACCCTTATGCCTGAGCGTGAAAGTGGACATCCACAGTACAAGGCTGATCTCCTGAAAGGCTCTGGATGATGATGTTCTGAGCAGAGTTTCATCCTGAGATATCATGACGCTGCTTTACTGTTGGAACAGCAGCAGCATGTAAATCCTGACTGTCTCCCTGGAACACAGACCTCTTCATCTCCACCATGAAAAAAAACTCTGACCAATGATAGATCCAGCCTTAAAGGTCCCACGGCTCCTTAATCTTACTAAACACCCGAGTCCTGCCGCTTTTATTGATAGTTAGAACTGGTAACCAACAAGCAATTTAATATATGGTGTTATGTGCAAAGGGAGTCCTTATTATTTTCAATGAGGACGTAAACCCTTTGTTTGAATAAGACATTTAACAGCGAAAAATAGCACAAA